GGCCGGAAAAGTCGAAAAAAGCTGGGTTTGGCGCGGTTTTCCGGCGAGGGGAGAGGTTTCCGGCGAAGAAATTTGGTTTTCTGACCACAATGGCCGTGCACGGCCATTTATATAGCCCGTGCCTCGGCTGCACGGGCAGAGGCGCACGGCCGTGCACCTTGGCTTTTTGCCCGTGCAGGCCGACACGGCCTGGCCGAGGGGGTTGCACGGCCGTGCACAAGGCACATTTGGCCGTGCAACTAACGCCGAGAGCTCGCACGGCCAGGGGGTGGTACCCGCACGGCCGTGCGAGGCTTCAAGTTGCCCGTGCAAGGCTGCACGGCCTGGCCGAGGGTGCTGCACGGCCGTGCACAACGCGCTTTTGGCCGTGCACTCCTGGCAGAGAGCTCGCACGGCCAGGCCAGGCTAGGCGCACGGCCGTGCAAGTTGATTTTCTGGCCGTGCACCTTGCTGGGGTCCCGAAATCAACCTGTTTTCACTCAAAAACGACACGTAACTCCGGATCAACGTCTCAAGACTCAAAAACACACAAAATCAAAGGAAAAAGAGTAAGAAAATGCAAACCTCGGTGGGGTTGCCTCCCCACAAGCGCTTCTTTACCGTCTTTTAGCTGGACGCCAGTATGGATGCTCAGGGAAGTGTGGGATCAGGTGCCTTCAAGAGCGGATCCACATCGCTCTTGAGGTACAGCTTTAAATGGTGGCCATGCACGCGACGAATGTGGCCACCTGCATTTGCCAGCTCGACTTGGCCATCCGGTAGGATGCAAGCGAGTGAATACTCGGATGGCCAAGGTGGGGGCGGGACCAGCTCATAGTGGTCTCCGGCTTTCTTTCGAGCGGGCTTAGCTGCCTGCAGTTTCGGCCGCCACTCCTCCTTGATCTGTTCTTTGGGTGACGGAGTGGTCCGGAGTGGCGGCGAAGGTGGGGGAGGCGGGTCCTGCAAAATAGGCAGCACAGAAGGATACACGACAGACTCGTGCTCCTGGTGAGATACAGCATGCAGAGGTAACGAAGCAGGTATAGTGTTAGCAACAGAAAATGTTATTCGCTCCTCGCCATCCCTCAGAACTAAGGTCCCATCATGCACATCTATGAGAGCCTTGGCGGTGGCCAGGAAAGGCCATCCCAGTATAAGAGGCACTTCTGTGTCCTCACTGATGTCCAGGATAACAAAATCCACAGGATACGTGAATTTGCCAACCTTGACCAGAAGGTCTTCCACTATACCCCTAGGATGCACTACCGATCTGTCCGCTAATTGAAGGGTCATCCTAGTAGCACGGGGTTCACCTAGGCCTAGTTTCATGAACAATTTATATGGAATAACATTGATACTAGCACCTAAATCCGCCAAGGACTTCTCTACATGCAATTTATCAATAGAGCACGGGATAGTGAAACTACCTGGGTCCTTTTTCTTCTGCGGAAGCTTGTTCTGCAGAATAGCCGAGCACTCCTCGCTGAGCTCCACAGTGGCCAGCTCACTCAGCTTCTGCTTCTTTGAGAGAAGCTCTTTCAGAAACTTCGCATACCTCGGCATTTGCGCTAGTGCCTCCAGGAAGGGCACTTGGACATTCAGCTTCTTGAGCATGGCCATGAAGTTCTCGAACTCTGTCTCCAGCCTGTCTTTGTGCAACCGAGTAGGGAAAGGGAGTTTAGGGATATACTCCTTCACTACTGGTTGCGGTTTAGGTGCAGGCACCTCAACCTCCTTCTCAGCTTCTTGTTCAACCGCTGGAGATGCTGCAACAGGGCTTCCTCTCTCCGGTTCCCGAGCAGGGGGATCAACAGTCAGCTTGCCACTCCTGGTCATGATGGCATTGCAGCGCTCATCCGGGGTCGGCGGGTGAGGAATGGTCTGCGCTGGTAGAGTACCAGGCGCCCTCTTAGCCACTGCTTGGGCCACGCTCCCCAGCTGGGTCTGGATATCCTGCAAAACAGCCTGAGTATTCCTCTGACCAGCTTCCAGGGCCAGGAGTTGACCCGAGGCCTTCTCCATGAACTGCTCAAAGGTGTTGAATTTCTGAGCACTAACACTGGCGAGAGAACCCACCAAGTCCCGCAGTTCAGCCATCTTATCGTTCTGCACTGGGGCAGCAGGGGCTGCACCTGGCTGCTGGAATTGCCCCTGTCTGGGCTGATACGGTGGCCTCTGGAAGCCCGGTGGTCCCTGTGGAGCTGGTGGTCTGGGATTTGGCCCAGCCCAGGAGAAGTTAGGATGCTGGCGCCACCCCTCATTGTACGTGTTGCTGTAGGGGTCATTGCGCCTGACATTGTTGATGAAGTTCACCTGCTCCTGGGGTGTGGTCGATTCCTTCATCGCCTGGCAGTCTTCCGCCATATGATGGGTGCTCTCGCACCACTGGTAGAGCATCGCCTGCTGCTGTCCGGTCCCTGGAATCATCCCGGAACGATCGATAGCTGAGACCAGCTTCGATACTACCTGCACCAAATCAGATGACTGGGTGCCCACAGCATGCACACCCCGGCCTGGTGCTCTCCTCGATCTCCTGGCAGTGCCCCAATCATAACCATTCTTCACCGTCTCTTCAAAGAGTTGATTCAGCTGTGGCGGGGTTTTGGTCAGCATGTTCCCGCCACAAACCGAATCGATCAGCTGCTTGTCCTCCGGGAAGAGGGCGTGATAGAAGGTGCCCACCTTGAACGCACCGTTGAAACCATGATTGGGGCACCTGAGGAAAAGGCTGTTGTACCTCTCCCATGCATCCCTGATGGCCTCATCCTCATCCTGAGCAAAATGTGTAATCCGCTTCTGGAGATCAGCTGTCTTGGATGGAGGATGGTAGCGGGTGAGGAACTTGGTGATGGAGCCCGGAGGTCGAGTGTCTAGCCACTCCTTGGCCTGCCCCTCCAGAGTGAATGGGAAGTACCTCAGCTGGATGGCATCTGCTGGTACCCCATTGATCTTGATTCCATCGATGAGCTCGTGGAATCGCCTGAGATGTGATCGAGGGCACTCTCCCTCCTTACCACGGAACACTACTGAACCGCGCAGCATGGTGATCACGGAGGTGCTCACCTCAAAGTTGTTGGCTGGGACCTGAGGGTGTTGAATAGGTGACCTCATGTCCGCAGCCCTAGCGGCCCAGTAGGATCCCATGGTCTGCTCCTCTGGGATCATATCACGGTTCTCTGGATCAGCCATCTCGCCTTCTTCTTCTTCTAACGGCAGCTGTGGTAGCTCCTCCTCCGCAGCCAGTCGTGCCTTTAGAGCCCGCTTGAAGTTCCTGCAAGTTCGTTCAAGCTCCTGGTCTAACGGTAGTAGATCTCCCGACTGGCTACGGGTCATGCACTACCTGCACACAGTCAGCAGAAACAACCCGTGAAGGCACACAGGTGGAAAAGAAAAATGCAATAAAGAAAAAACTAGAGTAACAAATTATCACGTTTCCCCAATAACCTAGAGGGTCCCCGGCAACGGCGCCAAAAACTTGACACGCTAAAACACAACACCTAACAATGGCCAAGTGTAACCAATGAAAGGGACTGCAGTAAAGGCAAGTTTAATTATCAACCCGGGGTCTAGATCTACTGCTTACTCCGTGATTCTCTATTATCTAGCAAACTAAGTCGAGTGATTGTTGTAAAAAGTAAAAGCAACAAGAAAGCAGTAAATTGTTCGGTTTCTAAAGCAGGCAAGAGTCACTCGGGATTGAGTCCCCCTAGCCCCTTAGTTAGGTTCAATTGCAATTCCCTGGGTTGATTTACTGTTGATTAGACTGCGGAAGATCCGACAGTAGCTTGGAATCTCTTAAGCTGACCAAGCCCTCTCAGTCTAACTACCCGGCAGACGACTAGTCTTCACCGGGATAGAAAGCTGAGGCTATGAACACAGAACTCCACTACTGGCGCCAAGAACACCAGTACAAAGCAGTCAACAGGCTAACTCTCGTATAGCCAATCTCCTACTATCGAATGAAGAGGCTCTAACAACCTAATCAGATTCTATCTATCTCAGGTTGAAGCAGAAATTGAGACAAGCTGATCAGACTCAAATCAATTCATGAAACATGCGTCATTCGATTAAAATCAAGCAGTAATATCATCCCAAGTCATTACAATCAAATCCCTAACACAAGGAACTAGGGTTCTTTATACCCAAGTGAGAGAAGGGTTCTACTCCATAGAGAGAGAAGAGAAAACAAGAATCGGATTAGTCATACTCATAACGATGAGGATAATCTGCTCCGGGACGATGATTTCCACTCCTATGACGACCTCCAAGCTCGATTCGATGAAATCCAGCTCCAAGACAGCTTCTAGGGTGTGTTCTTCCAACTTTCTCTCTCTAGGGCTCTGTTTTTGCTCTGAAAACACGATTCTCTCACTTCTGGCTCGAATTAGGCTTTAAAACCGACTTTCCCGAGTTGCACGGCCAGGTGCACGGCCGTGTTCAACACCATTCTGGCCGTGCACCCTCAAAACGCGCTGTTTCAATAAGTTATGTCTTCGTCCATCTTGCACGGCCAGGCGCACGGCCGTGCAAGCTTCAGGGCCTGGCCGTGCATGGCCTCGGCATGAGGTGCACGGCCAAATGGCTCAAGTGCACGGCCGTGCAGCCTCCTGGTCTGCCCGTGCACTCCCCAAAAAGCTCGCCTTTCGTCCGTTCTTCGTCCAATCGACCCCAGACTCGCTCCTAAGCCTTCATTCCCATACTAGGACCTGAAATAACACAAACAAGCACAACCTAGCGTGAAATCGGCCTAAAACACGAGAATCAACACCTCAAACGGTGTAAGTATGAGGGTAAAAACATGTGTAAATGACGGTCTATCACCGGGCCATGGCCTTCACCTTGAGATACACGACAACATGTAAATATATAAGATATTTCCTTCCATGTGAGAACCTAATAATTTCCATTGAGTCGATTAATGCTTATGAACTTTCTCTTGTATTTGCAAGATCGTCACACCACAGGCTACCCATGAACTCACTGCCATCTTCGAAAGGAGCATCACTGGACCATGTATAAGGTTCTTAGAGTACCCGACATCTTCTTTGCAGACCTTGATTGCTCGTTTCAAGGAATCTTGTTTCACATGCACTCTTCCAAAGGAAGAACTCAATGGTCATCTCAAGGAACATATCAAGAGGAACTTTTCCTAGTGGATGTATGGGTTCAGTAACCGATTATTCTCTGAACATGCTACCCTAGCTGAAAGGCTTAACAATCCACCTACTGAAATCCCTGCTCATATTTGGAGGGATATGGTTAACAAGTGGAGAGAACCCGATCCAATAGAGACATTTAAGAAGTTTCATGTAAAGAATGGAAATGGTGAATTCACCACCCCAAAAGCTCCGACCATCCATGTAAGTACATGCTTGTTAATTAATTTTTACTTTCTTCTGTGTTTTTTAAAACATCAACTCACCGTCTTAGTTATTAAAAACTTTGTTTGTAAGCTAAATTGAATAATAAGGAAGCTGAGAGGTTGAGTCAAGGGGAAGAGGTGAACCAGTTTGCCATTTATGGTGAGATCCTAGGAAAGCAGCCTAGGAAACGTGTCCTGGGAATGGGTGTAGGGGTAAGGGGTGTGGATGTGTTTGGCCCTACCTCCGGTCAGGGCTGTAGCAAAAGGTGCAAAGAGGACCAAAGGCAAGAGAAGGAGAAGAATGACGAGACGATAAGAATGCTGAAAGAAGAGATAGTGCAGGTGAAGAATGGGCTTCCTCATATTGTAGAGGACACATTGAAGAGGCTTGGAGTTACTTTCCCAGATTCCTCAAGTGTAAGTGTTTGTTGCTATTTTTGAGTTGGTTGAGCATATTTAATGGTCTGAACATTATAATGATATACTTAACTTTGTAATTTAGGCTAGAGACAAGGAAGTGAATGATGAAGTTGAGGCTGGAAAAAATGAATTGAATGATGAATATGAGGACGGTACTGATGATGAGGCAGGCTCCCCCTGATGATGATGATTACCAAGGAAGTTTTGCGAAGGAAGTTTGCAGCGCTAGGAAGAAGGCAGTAGTAGGAACTTTGCAAGTTCCATTTTTCTTTCGGATTATGTTCTGTTATGTTTTGTTATGTGCTTGGTTCTTTTGTTAGGAAACTTTTGAACAAGTGTTGAAGCTGGTTTCTGCACGTTTTATGTGCGTGTAAGACAATTTCGGTGGTTAGGCCACCTATTTCTATGCAGAAGTTTCTTTTTTGCTAATATTATTGCATTCTATAATTTCTTTTGTGCATTTAATAAATTACCTGCAAAATATAATCTATTATTATTATTCGCATTTGTTATCACAAATAATATACAACAAAAATATTTAAAATTTTGTAAAAAATATATTTTTAACGGTATAATTTGGTTACAGTATGGACAAATTTTGGCCAGAATTGATAAGTTACTTCCAATGAATATTCTGTGTTGCAAATATTCTATTTTTAACGCGAAAATTGGTTAGATTCAATAGGTTGCTTCCTATGAATATTTTGGGTTACAAATATTCGTATTTTTAATGCAACATCTAGGTTAGATTTAATAATTTGTTTCCGACAAATATTTTGTGTTACAACTACTCTATTTTTAACGCAACAATTAGGTTAGATTTAATAAGTTTCTTATGACGAATATTTTTGTGTTAAAGATATTATATTTTAATGCTTCAATTTGGTTACATAAACACAAAATTTGGTCGAATTAATAATTTGGTTGCCAAGAATAGTTTGCGTTACAAATATTCAATAGTTTCTTCTAACCTAATTATCTCGTTGAAAACTAAAAATACATTTATAACGAGAAGTTTTACGTGACGCAAAAACATCATTATAAATACCACAGGGGTGTTTTTGGGAACATAATTTCCTCTCGTAAAAGATGTCATTTTCAGAAAAAAAAGTGTCATCTTTTATTAACGATTTGTTTCATTCCTGACCGACATGTTTACCTCATATATAGTTTAAGTAACAAAATGTTCTCCTCGCAAATAATATTTATTCCCTTCCAAAAAGATTTGATCAAAGAATTTCGTTAAGTAAATTTCTTTTTTGATCATGATATTTTGCATAACGATAAAAAATAGTTGTCGCAAACGTATGATTTTCTGACGCAAGTACATTTAAACTATTAGCGAGGGACCTTTACCCGACGACTCACCAACGACCGTATTTCTTCAAAACAACCCTATTGTGACAAGAAAAGGCCTTTTGTGATGCCAATCGTCTGGTGACATCTGCAGTCTTTTTTATAGTGCACTCCGCCATCCGCTTCTTGACGAGCAAAGCGGATGCCAAGCCCCGACCAATTCGATGGATCCTACTACTTCAAGAGTTCGCCGTGGAGATCAAGGAAAAAAAGGGGTCCGAAAACCTTGCAGCTGACCACCTCTCGCGGCTCGAAGGAACGGGAGGTAGCACCTCCCAAGGGAAATAAATGACACTTTCCCCGATGAACGGTTATTCGCTCTCACCGCTGCAGAGAGTGTCGCCCCGTGGTTCGCCGACTTCGCCAATTATCTAGTTGGAGGGCAGCTACGCGCAAGGGGATGACTACACATGAGAGGAACAAGTTTTTCTCCGAACTCCGTTGCTACTTTTGGGATGATCCCCACCCTTTCCAAAGGACAGGTAATGCTTCTAACCAAAATGAGATGCCCCAAACGATTTCCATCACTTGTGAGATCTTTGATGTTTGGGGCATCGATTTTATGGGTCTTTCCCCCTCGTCTTTTGGTAACAAATACATCCTTGTAGCCGTAGACTACATCTCGAGGTGGGTTGAGGCTCAGGCTCTCCCCACCAATGATGCAAGACGAGTATGTGGATTCCTAAAATAGCTATTTTCACGGTTCAGGACCCCGAGGGCCATCGTTAGCAACCGAGGAACCCATTTTCAAGGGCAATTCGAAAAGCTCCTCGATTTCTACGGTGTCACCCACCGGGTGTCCATGGCCTATCATCCCCAAACTAGTGAACAAGTCTAGTTATCAATTAGGGAGCTGAAACGGATATTAGAAAAGACCGTGGATCAATCCCGCAAGGATTGGTCCGTAAAGCTCGATGATGCTCTATGGGCGTACACGGTCTACAAGACTCCAATAAGCGTCTCACCTTACCATTTGGTGTATGGAAAAGTGTGCCACTTACCCGTAGAGCTAGAGCATAAGGCTTTCTGGGCCACAAAGCTTTTGAATATGGACCCTAGTTTGTGTGGCAATTAACGGAAGTTGCAGGTGCTTGAAATCGAGGAATGGCGTCTCCAAGCCTATGAGAACACCAAGATTTACAAGGAAAAGACGAAGCACTGGCACGATGCTCGTCTGAAAGGAGGGAATGATTTACAGCCGGGAGACCAGGTTCTCTTGTACAACTCCCGTTGGAATTATTCCCAGGAGAGCTAAGGTCGAAATGGTCGGGCCCGTATGTGGTAACACAAGTATTCACATACGGGGTGGTTGAGATCTCCCACCCGGAGGAAGGAACTTTGAAAGTGAATGGACAGCGCCTGAAGTGTTACCTTGGAGGAGAGGTAATGCTGCACAAAGAGGTGGTGTTCCTGCAAGATGCATGACACAGAGTCTCCGTCTAGCTTAAGACGTTAAATAAGCGGTTATTGGGAGGCAACCCACCGAAGGTTAGCAAGTTTGTCCTACTTGAAGCTCCAAACATCCTACCGCGGAATCTATTCCAACTTTCAATCACCAAACCAAGCGGTAACATCATTCTACCCCTTTCTTACGCCATTGAGGGCAATGTCGAGCTTCACTGGGGGGGGGGGGGTAGTTTACTATTATGCTTGTGTGAGTGTGATTGATGATTGGAGACTTATGTATACCCAAATTTCAAAAATTTGAGCGCTCCGAGCAATGTTTGTCATGATCATAGTGCCTGGTGTGTGGGAAAATCTCGTGTTCATTGGCATTGACCGTGAATTTTTGCATGTGATCGAGTATATCCTATGATGATGACTGAGAGGTCCATTAGGACAGTGCAAAAGTTTAGTTCTCATGTGTGCATAAATGAATGGATTTCTTGACTCGATTACTTGTTGATTACAATTGCCATGCATTGTGTTTGTGAATTGGAATAGATGGTTAGGTGACTAGGTAGCCATATGAGCTTTGAGCAACTAGAACACCTTTTGAATCACTAGAACACCCTCTCCTCAAAATCCAAACCCGAGCCTCGCTCCAAAGGGCCTTTAACCCCCTTTAAAATTTTTCTAGAAATAATCCCTTCAAAACTAACCATTTTTCCTAATTATTAATTTCTTGTACGAATTTTTCACCTAATTTGAACCTCAACACTTCGGATAATAATTTTCCTATGTCAATCATGAGCACCTATACCCTATAAAATTATCCAACCCTTAAAATACCCTCGGTATGATTTTTTTTAATTAAAATAAACCTTCGAAAAATTTCTAAAAATAGAAATACATCTTCAAAAATCACCAAATTAAATTACAGCCATCTTCTATACCTCCCTAAATTTATAAAATTGTTAAATATAGGAAAAAACACCCACAGAGGCTCGAAACAATTTAAAACATCTAAAATAAGTTCCTGCAAATTCCCAACAGCTTTAGCGACCACCCAAAATCTGTCACTAAAAGCCTGTAACGTCTGTTGCTAAAAACTCATAATTGCACCCTCACGAAAAATCACCAAATCGATCGATCTAACTCAAAGGGATCGAGTTCCGTTACCTCTAGAACGTGCCTAAGACTCGATTGGATGGCCCGGGATCAAGTTGATCTCCTCGTTGATCGATGATCGAACCCTCAAACGTCCCCTCTAATAAAATACGAGTTTCAGATTAGACTATCGATGAATCGAGTTTAGAAATCGCGAAGGGATTCATGATCCTTACCTAGAAACACGTAAGGGATGGGATCGGGATCGGGATCGGGGACCACCACTCCCCCTTCTCCTACTTCTTCTAGGTCGCGCTAGGGAGATCACGATGGCGGCGGAGAATTGCTATGGGAGGGGGATTGGGATTATTAATTTGGGGTGGGGGGTTTTGAGGGTTGCTCGGCCCAGCTAAGCAAATGTATATATATTTATATTTTTCTAGTAATAATAATAATAATATTTTTATTATTATTAATTCGCGGTTGTAACTCTTAGTTATTAATCGTCAACCCAACCGATCATGTATTAAGGTCGAACCTAACCCAAAGGTCGGAGTGTTACAGGTACTACATAGGAGGATTGTGTGTGGTGCTTGCTAGGAACGAAAAATGAAGTGTAGTGTTGGTGTGAGTTCTTGAAAAGAGAGCATTGCTCGTTTAATGTAAAGGTGGCAAGGTTTTACTCTCTAGTGCCCCCCTCAAAAAGAAAAGAAAAAAAACAAAAGGAAGAAAAGAAAAGAGAAACGATAAGACGTAATAAAACAGGGTAAATAAAGTAGAGAGTGCCACGGAAAACCAAAGTGTATGCTCAAGCCATTGAAACCCTCACATTGTTTTAGAACTCCTTCACTACCAAACCTTAATGTGAT